ATATATATATATATATGCTTTTGTAGGTTTTCCAGATTCCGGAAAATTCCGGAGAATTCCGGAGAATTCCGGAGAATCCTGTGATGCCCTGCGAGTCCGGAGCTCTCGGCGTTCGTTCGAAAAAAATCTCCCTCAGCAACCTCCTCTTCCCTATCTTCCTTCTCCTCCTCCTCCTCCACGTCGCCATCCTCCCGCGCCTCCTCCTCTTCCTCCTCCTCTTCCTCCTCCTCCTCATCCTCCTCCTCCTCCTTCTCATTCTGCTCCTACCCATCCTCCTCCCTCCATTCTCCTTCTCCCTCCCTTAGAAAAAAACCCTCGACGGTTTTTTTCTGAAAACGTTGTTTTTTCCAGGAAGTCCTGAAGATGATTTTCCAGGAAGTGGAGTCCAGGAAGTCCTTGAGAAGATTTCCCAGAAGGTTCGTGAGAAGATTTTCCAGGAAGATGTTCCAGGATGTCCCCTGAAAGCGCGTCCAGGAAGTCCTTGAGAAGATTTTCCAGAATTTTCCAGGATGGTTTTCCAGAATTTTCCAGGATGGATTTCCAGAATTTTCCAGAACGGTTTTCCAGAATTTTCCAGGATGGTTTTCCAGAATTTTCCAGGATGGATTTCCAGAATTTTCCAGAATGGTTTTCCAGAATTTTCCAGGATCCCCCTGAACGGGTTTCCCATGCCTTTCCAGGGAGGCGTTCCAGGCAGAGAACGAGGAGGACCAGCTTGAGCACGAGGACCACGGTAGCGGCAACTATTCAGAATGGAACCGAAGGATGGTGCTCCCCTGCGATCGGGGAGAGGGGGAGAGGGCTAGAGTGGAGTTGGGGCGGGGAGTGGGGTGGGGGAGTAGAGTGGGGGAGAGGGCAGGGGCCGTCGGAGAGTCGGAGAGCTTTGAAGAGGGGAGAGGGGAGGAGTTGACGATGATGATGATGATGATGTCAATCGCAATTGCTATGCCCACATCGGGCCTCGAGAGAAGGTTTGACTGGCCACTAGCTGAACGAACTGAGCGTGGCAATCACGCTCGCGAAACGATGCCACGCACTCTGCATGGCCAAAGCGCTCTAAGCTATGCAAGCACATCTGAAGTCCAGGCTCAGTCGATGTCCTCCTCCTTCCCGAATGCGCCAGGCGGGATCTGGGGGTCTGGCGGGAGCGCGTCGCCGTGATAGAAGTCCCAGAAACGACTCTCATCCGCCGAGCTGGATGACGGAACACCTGGCGCCCCAGCCGTGCTTGGCGTTGGCAAAGTGTTTGGCATCTCAGTTGGATCCTGGGAGTCAAGCACTTCGATGATAGTCGAGTCACGGAGAGCAACATCATTGTCGTCGCGACCGCTGACGCCATCATCACCGTGAACCTGTTCTTGCATAGGCTTCTTGCGATCATCGGTCTCGGGCTCAGGCGGATCGCTGGCGTTCCTCTTCAAGCCCCTGCCGACTTTGATCTGCTCGACCACATCACAGAGCGTGTTGTATTCCTGCACGAGACCGAAGTATTTTGTCGTGGCGTTGTCGAGCTCTGTGCTCTCTGGAGAAGTATCCTCGGAGTTCCAAATGTCGAACACGGATGCCAACAACGCCAGGCCCGTGGCGAGCTCAAAGAGATCGTTGTGGACCGCTGTGGTGTAGCGATTCATCGGGACGCCCACTGCCCACGATTCGCACATGATGCGCATATCTTTCACGCCCTGATTCATCTCGAAGAAGGTTGGGTGAGCCCCGTCGTCGGAGTGATCCGACATTCTGTGCACGGAAGGTCGCACTGCACTGGACAAAGGCGCGAACAACCGCCAAGTTTCGCAACTTGGCTTGAGCCAAAATGGCTATCAGAAGCATCGGAATTGATTTCGAACAGGGGTGTCCTGATGCCCCAAGGATGTTTGTGCTGATGGCCATGGTGATGATGAGCATGGTTGTAGTCGTGGTGTTAGATTTGTCGGAATCGTTTGCGACTGCGCTTTTTGATGTGGTGATGCTTAGGGTGGCGATTGCGATGGTCATGCTAATGACGATGGCATTGATACTGATGTTGGTAGTGAGCTTGATGATGGCCCAAAGAAGCAATGAGCATGATAATGAAAAGGAGTTGCTCGGTATCCCTGTGGCTGCCAGTACCGCGATTGTGTTTGAGATTGCGTGGGCCCTGCAGACTCTCGAGGCCACATGCGGGGTAACCGACTTCACGCGTGAGCCTCTGAAAGGCGACGGGCCTCGAGGAGCCAAGGGTCACCTTCGCGTTTTTTAAAGGACCATTGAGGGGAGCAACGATGAGGGGCATGAGGAGAATGAGGATGAGGACGATGAGACGGATGAGCTTGAGGGGTAAGATGATCAGACCGAGTGGCAGCATTGGCGGCACTAATAGGGAGAGGTGGGAGAGCGGAGGACCAAAAGAAAGAACACATCACATGCACGTTGGCAGCTCCCAAGGGAACTCAATTTCGGGACGGACCAGTGGACCTGACGATAGGAGGAGGAGGGGGAGGGGGGGGAGGAGGAGGAGGAGGAGGAGGAAGAGGAGGTGGAGGAGGAGGAGATTTTTCTGCTATGTGCCCCCGCGCTGCTGCGCCAACGAATCGAGAGATTGCGAACGGTGCCTGCCTGAGCTGCGAGCAGGCCAATCTTGACAGCTGACGGTGGAGCGACCCCTAGCACGCGAATGTTACCTAGCAACAAAGCTGGCCACGGCGAGACGGTCGCAAGTAGCCCGTCTACATGCGCAGTGAAGCGTGCACTGACTCGCCTCGGTCTGAAACTGGAAAAGTTGCCGACGGCCGACTCGCCTCGGTCTGAAACTGGAAAAGTTGCCTACTTCCCATCCAGCTCGGGGTAATTGCCTGCAGCGCGCTCCTCGCGCAGCTCCTTGGTCCGCTTCCTGGACTCTACCTGAGCACGAGCCCTGGCCACTGCTTTGCAACTGCCTGCCGCCAGCGCCTCCTTCAAGACGCGAGAGTAGACCTTGCTGTGTTCCCTGTTCAGAAACATGGCCCAAGCAGTCTTCCCCCCCTTCTTCGGAACAGGGGCGGCCTTCTCCTTGCTAGCGTTTTTGCCGTGCTTCGCCTTGTTCTTTTTCGACTTCATGGCTTTCATCGGTTTCGTCGGTTTCTTCTCCCTGCTCTTCAAGGCCTTGTTCAGATCCGCGTATCCTTTAGGCGAGAGCTCAGGCGATGCATCGAGGCCCTCGAGAGACACATCCTTCCCGCCGAAGTTCGGGTCAGGTGACTTCTGTGTGATCTTAAGCTTCTTCGGGACGGGCTTGTCGAGAATCGCACTGAGCACAGGGTCGTCGGATGCGAAAAGCTCCCTCGGGTCGTGCGGTTCGGGGCTTGACGGCACATCGACTAGCTCAACGTGCGGAGGGTCCACTTCGACAAGTTCGACCTGAAAAAAAAAGACGGTGACACGAAGCAGTCGATAGGGGATAATACGGAGGGTGAATGGTTTGGTGCCTTGTTTGTTTCTTCTCCTCTTCCTTCTCCTCCTCCTCATCCTCTTCCTCCTCCTCCCCCTCCTCCTCCTCCTCCTCCTCCTCTCCTTCCTCCTCCTCCTTCTTCTTTCTGCCATTGCTTCTTCTGAGTTACCTCCTGATCTACTCTATCATCCTCATCCTGCGGAGCTCACTCTTCGGCAGCCTCCTCATCTCCCTCTCACCCCCTCTTCCCTCTCCTCCTCCACCTCCTTGACCTGCAGTGCCCCCCCATTCACCCTCCGAATGATCCACTATCGCATGCTAAGTTTCACCGTCGTTGACCTCGCTAAAGCTACCGTCGCCATCGTCGCCACGATCGCGATCGAGAAGCGCAGGGACTCCAGCGACTGGAGCACGCGCATCCACCTCGATCTTGTCGTAGATCACCTGAAACTTCGACTTCCAAACCTGTGGGACCTGTCGGGACTTCAACTTCATGTTCTTCAGCTGCGCGATAATCGCGCGGATGCTGTAGGCGATTTTGTCGGCCTGGTCCACTGTCAGAGCCAGCTCGTGCCTCGTCGACCACTCGCGCACGCAGGCGCGCAAGCTCGTGTGCAACACCATCTTGCCACCAGACAAGTCCAACATCTGCGAAACACATGTCGAGGCTTTCGCTGCCTTCGGCCAGTCTGGAACGACCTTGAAGCTGAGCTTCCCGTACCAGCAACTGCCAGCACTCACGACACTGAACGGCAACTTGTCCAGAGCCTCGAGCCCACGAACTAATGGGATCTCCACCGCCATGTGAGATCAACTTCGCGAGAGTCGAAGCGGGGCGCAGCAAGTCAATCTCGAGCCAAAGTGGCTATGGGAGGGAAGGGGGTGGAGGCCCAAGACGACCAGATTTGACAGAGCATCAGAAATCAAGCTCGTGTTAACAATTGTTGAGCTTTGGAGTGTAAATCCTGAAACGTTGTAAACGGGGGGACGATAGCAGATGGCTTCCGTAGCAGATCACGGGATTGGACGGCGAAGTCCGAATGGAAAGACCCGAAAGGAAAGTGCACGGCACCAAAACGGTCAGGTTTGAGAGGGCCACTCTTGACCAAAATGGTTTGTCGAGTTTTCGTTGTGGGGTGGGTGGGGTGGGGGGTAGCGTAGCATGTCATAGGATGATATAGCATTCTGCATAGCATAGTACAGGATAGCATGGCATAGTAGTATCATATCATAGGATATCATAGCATTATGCATAACATAGCATAACATAGGGTAGCATCGCATAATGAACACCAGACATATATGGCATTAGTTCAGCATGTCTTTGCGTAGCGTAGCACTCCATAACATTGCATGGAAATCACGCCTGGGGGAGCTTTTGGATGCCGCACGCGTGCTTTCTGAGAGGCGTAAGAAAAAGATGCTCAATCGATCCTGGGGGCCCCCCTCCCCCCCCTCTCCCCCCTCCCCCCCGCCCCTCCCCCCCTCCCCTCCCCCCCTCCCCTCTCTCCCCCCTCTGGGCTCTCCCCCTGCCCCCCCCCCCCCCCCTCGCGCGCGCCGCCACGGGCAGGGCCCGGGCTCCGCGGCCCCCGAGGTGCTGCGGCGCCTGGCGGACCACGAGGCCCTGCTGAGGCGGCTGCTGGAGCAGGGCGCCGGAGCCCAGGCGAGCGAGGCGCTCGCGCTGCAGGGCGTGGACCGCAAGGTGGAGCGGCTCCTGCGGCAGGTCGGGCCCCCGCGACGCGCCAACGCCCAAGTCGGGCCCAGGCACGATCGCGTCGCGGAAGGAACGAAAATGCCTATTTTCGGCCCCGGGGGGCCCTCGCCGGGCCTCGGGGCCGTCCACAAACGACCCAGGACGAAAAGCCGGTCCCCGGGAAAGGGTCGGGACTTCCAGGGACGCCGTCCGGAAAAAATCAGGACGTCGCATTTTTGGGTCATGGCGCCCACATCGCAGAGCGGGCTTCAATCGGAAAGCCACGGGGTGGGCCCGGATTCTCCTGGAGAATTTCGCTCCGGTTTTTGAAGTGGATATCGTGCGGATTTTTTTGTGCCAGGAATGAAGACTACAAAAAAGTCAGGTGAAATTCACTTCGTTGTTCGCTGGCCGTTTCGGGGCTTCGCATTGACAGAAATCCAGGCTAATCCGCTGCAGCACGCGTGCAAGGACGGTGCAATAACAGGTCGGGCCCCCGCGACGCGCCAACGCTCAAATCGGGCATGTCGCTCTACAGATGGAATGTTCAAAAAAGAGTCAAACAGAAGCAGTGTCGTGGCGTTTGTTCCATTTTTTGACCATGGTCGAATACAGTCGGGGCCCTGAAGAAGGAACCCTTGTTGTTGGGGAGGGGCTCCGTGTTCCTTAGTTGCTTTACAGCGCTCCTTGGGTTTTCCTTAGTTTTTCTATGGAAAATCGGAGTTTAACTTATGGGAAAGGGGCTCCGTTCCTTATTTATCGTTCCTCAGGTCAGGCCGATGACCGTATCGTGGCGGCTGTTTCATGTCTTGACCATGGTCGAATATCTTTGTTGCGACTTTTCATCCAAGACACGCCCAACCGAAGCCAACGCGCGTGGCCTCCCCAGACCCCCGACGTAATGATTTTTTCATTACGTCGACCCCCAGAGGTCTGGACCCTTTCCCCATGACCGGCTTTGCATCCTGAGTCGTTTTTCGACGCTCCCGAGGCCCGGTGAGGGCCCCCGGAGGCCGAAAATTAAGAAAAACCTCCCGTCATGATTTTTTCATTACCCGAGGGGGTCTGGGTCTCCTCGCCAGCGCAGGCCGACTACACGCATAAGCTCGCCAGAGCGGCCTCCGGTGCGGGCACCTCGGGGCCCCCGGGGTGGCTGCACGCAGTGCGACGGCAGCGGCTGTGCGCGCGCTCTGCTGCGGCCTCCCCGCGGCCCGCAGAAGTCGCGCACCCAGGCTTCCTGGCATCGCTCGGACGTGTGCCTTTTTCCTCGGCGAGAACCCATTGAGGACGAGCCTGGACCATCGAGCAAAAAAAAAAAACATAACACGCACGACACCGAAGAATGCACGGGACAGGGACGTCCGAGCGACGGCGAGGGTTCTGATGTTCCAACCTGCTCTAGCCTTGTCGGTCCTGAAGTAGGTACGATGGGGACCACAGACACCCGGGGCCCTTCGTGCCCAGGGTCTCTCGATGTCGGGGCCCTCTCCCGTGCCTCTGCGGCTCGGCTCGCTTCTGCCCCGTCGCCTCGCCTCCCGCCGGGGTCTCGCTGCGCGTGCGCGCGTGCGCGCGCGCCCCGCGCCCCGCTTCCCAGGCATGCGACGTCCTGGCTATGTCAGGGCGGAGTCCCTGGAAGCCCCGACCCCTTTCCCGGGACCAGTGCTTCGTCCCGCGTCGTCTTTTGACGGCCCCGCGAGGCCCGGCGAGGGCCTCCTGGGGCCGAACAGACGTGCACGTGCATGAATCCATGCTGGTTTCGAGAGAGCGCGTTGCGCAATTGTTCGTGTCGCGCGGCCAGTCTCGCGGATCGAGGGGCCGCGTTCATGTACATCGCTCGGCGCGCACGTCCTTTGTGGGCCCCCTAAACATAATGGAGGATGACGATTAATAAATGACCGGGGGTCGTGTTCACGCGGCGGCGCCCCGGATGACGATCAGAAGAAACCGGCCGCGGGCTGGAAAACTATTTGTTTGATCGTTCTCCTCCAGTCGGAAACTTGTGCAGAAGTAGCAGGAAACTATTTATTTAATCGTTCTCTCCCAGTTTTATTAATCGTCATCCCGCATTACACAGCTCGGCGCGTGCGTCCTTTGTGGGCTCCCTAAACATAGCCATACACGAGCCTCCCGTCCGGATTATTTTCTATGGCGCGATCATGTCTGGGTTCTGTAGCTTCGGAGGAAGAGAAGGAGGAGGAGGAGGAGGAAGAGATGTTGGAGGAGGAGGAGGAGGAGGTGGAGGAGGAGGAGGAGGAGGAGGAGATGGAGGAGGAGGAGGAGGAGGAGGAGGAGGTGGAGGAGGAGGAGGAGGAGGAGGGAGGAGGAAGAGGAGGGAGGATGTTTTGACGACGCGATCACGACGACGACTGCCAGGTCGGGAGGCCGGGCGAGCCCGACGCCGCCCCGGACGCGGCCGCCCGCCCACGGCCCGGGGCCGCGGCGCCGCGCCGGCCGCGCGAGGGGATCCGGGAGCTGGCCGTCTGGTCCTCGTGCGCGAGCTCCGTCCGGCCCCTTCCTCCTCCTCCTCCTCTCCTTCTCCTCCTCCTCCTCCTCCTCCTCCTCTCCTCCTCTCCTCCTCCTCCTCCTCCTCCTCCTCTCTCCTCTCCTCCTCCTCCTCCTCCTCCTCTCTCCTCCTCACTCCTCCCTCCCCTCCCCTCCCTCCCTCCTCCTCCTCCCTCCCCCTCCTCCTCCTCCTCTCCTCCTCCTCCTCCTCCTCCTCCTCCTCCTCCTCCTCCTCCTCCTCCTCCTCCTCCTCCCCCTCCCACCCCCCTCCGCCCGCTGGCCCTGCCTCGTGCGCGAGCTCCGTCCAGGCCCCTCCTCTTATCGGGGGAGCGTAAGACCCGGGTTTGCCAGGACTCGGGTTCGCCTTCGTTTTTTGGCGACCGCGCCTCGGATTTTTTGACGAGTATAGGAGTTTCGTGGGATGTCTGCCGCGGGAGGCCTCGTCAAAAAAAGCAGGCTCGGCCTCGTCATTTTTTTGTCGACCTCGTCGGGGATTTCCGAGTCCCCCGTAACCGGGTCTTACGTCTCGCCGATCTTAAGACGACGCGAAACGGTCGCGCGCGCCGCAGGGACTCTGAAAGTGCCTTCGGGGCGGCTCAGGGGTGACCAAAAAAATGGCAGAGGTTGTGTGCCGGCGCAGTTTCTTGTGCGGCGTTGGGCGCCCTGGCGCGGACGGCCGAACGACCCCTGCAGCGGGACACCCTGCCCACACGGTCGGCGCCGCAAAAACTGCGCGTTCAACGCGGGCGCCGCGCAAAGGACGCAGATCGGGACAACATCGGATCGGGATGACTCGAGATCTCTGAGAATCGGCGGGTTTGGAGGATGTATCGGGCGCCGCGGCCGCTCCAGAGCGTTCCGGAACGCTCTGAGAGCGCTCTGGAACGCTCTGGAGCGACTTATCCCGATCCTAGCCCTGTTTTATCTTTGCGGGCAATACTTATATCCATATCCAGAGCGTCGTGGACTTGTCGGGAAGGGGTGCCGCAAGGCCGAGGCGCACCGGATGTGGATAAGAATCGAGCTTTCTGGGGCCAGATGTTTATCCATAGCCAGTGCGCCTCCGGTTTCTGGGGAAGAGAGCCCAAAGCTCCAAGACGCACTGTATGTGGATATAACTGTTGCCCGCACCTCTCAAGGGGATCGGGTAGAATGCGCATCGCGAAAACGACCCCAGACACGATCGCGTCGTGAAAAAAATCAGGACGGGGGGGTTTTGGGCTATTTCCGGCCCTGGAGGGGCCTCGCCGGGACTCGGGGCCGTCCAACAACGACTCAGGACGAAAAACCGGTCCCGGGGAAAGGGTCGGGACTTCCAGGGACGCCGTCTTGAAAGATTCAGGACTTCTCATGTCTGGGACTGTTTGTCTGCTGCGCTGGCGGAAGCAAGCGCGTCTGTAGTCTGGCGTCCCGCGCCGCAAAGTCCAGAAGAAGCACCGTGGAAAGGATTCAAACAATAGTTGTCTGCCGCTGGGAGAGACTTTGGGCAGAACAGTTATCCAGCTGCCTGCGGCAAGTCCCGCCGCCGTGCCAGCGCAGCATTCTGGGTAGCAGCTACAGTGGGGGCGCGCATCAAGAAACCATCTGCGCTTCGTCAGGGCATCCCGGGTTTCTTCGCTCCTCGCGTTGCGCGGTGACTTCCCGCAGCCGTTGAAGGTGCACCTCGCGCACGGGCTCTCAGGGTTGGGTTTCATGCGAGGGTTTCTTGCGGCCGCGCCCGCGCTGTAATTGTGGGGGCAAGGGCTTCAAGGGATGCCGTCACGTGTTACAATTCGGGCCTCTCGAAGGCCATGGGGGCATGCTGGGTGCCTGTTGTGGCTTCTTACTTCTTGGGGCCTCTTGGCAGCGCCTCGGAGGCTCTTGGGGGCTCCTTCGGCCGTCTGAGGGCGCTCTTGGGCCGCATCGGCGCTTTCGGAGTCCGTCTTGGGGGTCTCTCTGGGTCATTTTGGGCCCTCTTGGGGACATTGAGGGCCGTCTGAGGGCTGACTTGGGGTCCTTGGACCATCTGGGAGCCCTCTTGGGCCGTCTTGGGGCCCTCTTCAGGCCCTCGTGGGCCGTATTGAAACCATGTTGGAGGCTTCTGGGACCGCCTTGGGTTGAAGGACGCTCGATTTGGAAGCTCGATCTTTTTCCCAACCCTCCTTGGTTGGGTATTCGTCTTGCATAGAGCACTGCGGTCTCCAGTTCGCCTCCCGCCTCCCGTCTCCCGCTCCCCTCTTGTCTTCTCCAGCCTTGCGCGAACCTGGCCGTCCCTGGGGGGCTGCGATCTGCGAAACTGTCGCCACTTTCGATGGCTGCTGGTGGGCCCAGCGGACTGAGGCACCGCGGGGATCTGAGCGAGACCTCGCCGTCCCTGGGGGGCTGCGATCTGCGAAATTGTCGCGACTTTCGATGGCTGC